CGGGGGGAGGTGGGGCAGGAGGGACCACAGCTTCCTGGTTCACATCCCAGGGCCTCCCTGTCCTCTGGAGCAGGGGGCTCCTCCCTGCACTGCCCCAGCTTCCTGAGGTCCAGCCAGGACCTTTCGCCCTCTGTGGGTGTTCGGGCCACCAGAGAAGGAGCCTCCCTGCTATGTGGGAGCATGCTGGGTGCTGGGTCAGGGCTGTTCCTGGGCCCCTTGGCTGCTACTCTAGAGGCAGGCAGCGTGAAGACAAGGAAACAGCAACAGGGTGGGCCACCAGGGCTGCCTTGCCCACTGTGCACCTCAGCGCAGTTCCAGGGGGGCACCCAAAGAACATAGTGTTGAATGACTCCCTGGAGCCAAGCAACATGGCAGCCCTGGGAAAAGCCACTCCATAGAGCTACCCAGCCTGCCTTGCAGTCAGGATCCTGATACCCCCAAAGCAAGTTGCAGTTGGGGTCCCCTGCCCTCACCCTGGCTAACCAATTCTCTCAGATTCTGATCCTTCTCTGAGCTTCACCCATAAGGCTTATCCTACTTGTAACATCTTCAACTTCCAGACCAAGCCCTGTTGAGGCCTGACCCTGGCCCTGGCTCCTAAAGAAGGAGCCATTATATTATTTCTATCCGGTAGAGAACAGGGAAAGGGAAATTAATTTTGCCATTTAAAGCACCAATAAGTTAATATAAATAGGGCATCATAATAAATAGACAATTGTGCTGGGTCAAACACACAGCACACTTGGATCTCAGGCTTCCCTGAGACCCTGACCTCAAGTTCTGCTGTCTCCTTGCTCTGGGGACCAGAGATGGCCTCTGTTCCCCTCAAGTACCTTTGTGTGGCCTCACCCGGCCTCCATAGGCCTCAGATGTGAGCTGCCACTCTGAACTACTCTGTCCATCCCCTCCCTTACAGATCCTCACCCAGAAGGAAGACGCTGGGTCTCCTCAGAACTGTCTCACCTGACTTTGCCACCTGCCCACCTCCACATACCCCCCTGCTCCAGGTCTAGCCACCAGAGCCTGGCCATCCTGGGCTGCAGGAAAGACTGTGGGGAAGAGGAAGGAGAGCCCATCAAGACTTTCAGAGCCTCTCTTCCTTCCAGTATCTTCCTTCCCAGGCCTGAAGGTGGCTTCTCTGCCTCCCCAGGAACCTGAATGCCAGTAACCCTTCTGGAACCTTCGGCTTAACAGTTTCTAGGCCTGAGCTCTCCAAGCACATGCAAGAGAAGGCAACATCCCAAATCAGAGCTCCCTTCTCTAACTTCCACTCACCACACTTACAGGGGCCAAGGAGTCCTTCGGGATCCCAGCCCCTCTGGCCTGCCCCAACCAAATCTTCCAAAGTCTACCTAAGGGGCAGCAAAGGCACTGATGGTGGTCATCTTGCTGGGGCCGGGCAATCCCCCCGACCCTTGCTGTGTTGCCCTGTGGTCAGGGTTGCCGTAGATAAGTTGTTCAGTTTGGTCACAAAACCCCTGGCTGAGGGGGTAAGTGGGGGCAGAAGTCCAGCCCACACTCCCCTCACCAGCCTCATACCCCGGTGCTGGCTGCAGTCTCCCAGAAGAAGGGGCACCTTCTTCTAGTTGGCGCTGTATATAGGCCCTGCCTATGGGAGTTTTGACTCTGCTCAGTTTCATCACAGTGTCCCTGGAGGGGAGTGGACTGGCCAGGAACCCCTCAGGGTCTGCCAGCAGACTGCACTTGGGTTTGGTGATGCTTTGGGCCCTGGCCACAGTCTGAGAGCCACCTGAGTCTAAGATCTTGGGTCACTGCACGCTTCAGGACCTCCTGTCTAGAAGGCCTGAGCCAGCATGGCAATGACCTGCTTATACTTCCCCAGGAGCTGACAGCCCAGCTTCTTCTTCTGGAAGACATCCTTGTCCGAGGTGTCGGGGCCATAGGCCACCTCCACGTGGCCCACGTGGTACTTGCTGCAGAGGCGGCAGTGCACGTTGCTGAGGAGGCCCCGCATGATGTCCGAGGTGGCGTTCAGCTTGCTGTGGAGGCTGACGGAGTTGGGATTGAGGGTCTTCTGATCCCGAGTGATGTTGCCCAGCGAGGCGCCAAGGTAGGCGATGATGCGGTACAGCTCCACCAGCCGGGCCTTCTCCGTGCCGTTGGCATGGAAGGGAGGGAAGTCTGTCACGTTGGGGCCACACAGCTTGTCCAGGTTGTTGGGGAACGGCTCGCCCTGGGCCGTGTACTAAGGAGCAGAGGGGTGGAGAAGAAGTGACAAGAGAGTCAGGGACAGGTGTTCCAGCCCTGTTACCAACCCTCTGGGTGAACTCTCAGGTCTCAGTTTCCCACTTGTGGCACAGGGACCCAACTACTTGTCCTGTAGGCATCTCAGGATTGTCATGAGAGCCAGAAGTAACCATGGGTGTGAATGCACAAGGCCTATACCAGGAAAGGGTAACCTCATCTTCATCAGGACCACATAGGGACAGGAAGGAAAATGCCATGTCTCACCTAGGGCAGGTGCACCACATACCTGCCCTTTCACTCACTGCACTCAGTCTTCCTGGGAGGCTCTGCACCCCAGATGCCCACAGCCACTGTCTCCCAGCCCATCTCCCTGTCCACCTCATCACCTCTGTCCTTTGTCTCTCATTGGCCTCTGGCTCCAAGTGGTGGAGAACTTCCACCTGCCCCCAGCTCTGCCCTACCTAACTGGACACCCTGGGAAAGTGACCTCCAGTCTCCAAGCCTGTGCTGGGGGTGGGGCGGGAGCTATAGGAGTCCCACGTGGTTGAACCAAGTCCCCTCCCCGTTCCCTCCTTCCAGCTACAAAAGGGTCCCTTCCCTGGCCAGCCCTGCCAAGCCAGGTCAGTGCAGCAAACACCCCTCCATGCTCCCTCCCTCCTGCCTCGGTAGCTCGGGGATGACTTACATAGAGAATGAAGAGGGCGTTGGCGCTGCTGTTGAGTTGTGCCAGTTGGTTCCTGATCTGATTCATGAGGTTGCTGTGACATGGATGGCGTGTGACACAGGTGGCGTTGACAGGGGTGATGGGAAGGGGGCTCCCTGCCCCGTGTTTCCAGTGCAGAACCAGCAGCAGGGGCACGACTCCTAGGAACAGGCAAGAAGTCATGAGCAGGAAGGTGAGGGGCAGGCAAGGAGGGCTCATACCCAAGGATGGTCCTCATCTCCCCTAGGACACCAATGTCCTCTCTCAGCCTCCAGTTCTGTCTTCGTCTGGCCTGGCCATTTCTAGTTTTCGCCATGTCACTGCATCTGTGTGTCTCCGTCTCCCTCTCTCCAGATCTCTAACTCTCTACCTCTGCTTCTTGTCACCTTCTTATCTCTCTGCTTTTTCCTGAGAAAAGGAGCCAAGGGGCAGGACATGAACTGTTCTCACCAGTAGGCAGCTGGGTCCAGAATGACACCAATTACCCAGCCCTTTTCCTCCTGAAGGCAAAGCCCTGAGGCCTCCTGGCCCTCTGGCTGGAAGGCACAGTGCCCCAGGCCCAAGGGGTCTAAAAATAAAAAAAAAGGCCCCTCTTCTCCCACCTCCCAGGATGCTCCAGATTCCTAGGCTTTGCTTTCTAGGTCCTCCGCTGACCCACTTATCTCCTCCCAAACCTGTCCCAGGATTCTGGCTCCTGGGCCATTTGTCCCTTAACTCTGTCCCCCTCTCCAAGTGCCCATCTCTTCTATCTCTATCTGCCAAATGTGGCCACTCCCTTACTAGGACCCTCGACTCAACTCCATCCAATTCTGTGGCTCTGCTCCCCCACCCATCCCCAAATCACCATCAAAACTTCCAGCCCCCCAGCTCTGCACAGCTCATCTCCATGCTCCCCCCCCCCACTCCTGTCTACTACTCCTTGCCCCAGGCTCTGGGCTAGAACAAGGAGAATCCAGGGGTCCCACCTGCCCCCAGAGCCTTGGGGAAGAAGAGGAAATGGTGCAACCAGAAAAGGGAAAAGGTCGGAGGCAGACAGGTGGGCGGAGGAGGAAAGAAAGTGAAAGGGGACAGGAGAGCTGGGAACTGTTGGGGCCTGTCCTGGATCGCCCCTCCCCTAGGGTGCCCGCTCTCCCCCCTTCTCTCCTAAGTCCCCTCAGAGGGACCTTTCCAGGTGGCTCAATAGCAGGGACTGGGGTCAGCAGAGGGTGAGGCTGGGGACCCCCCGAGGCTGGGGGGGAAAAGGAGGCGCAGGCGCTTCCTGCTCGGGTCCCCCCTGCTGGGCCAGTGGCAGCCTCAGGTTCACTTCTGCGGGTATCCTGTTCCTCCCAGCATCCCCAGGCCATGCTGAGTCCCAGGGATGGCCGGGGGGGACCCCTCCACGCCCCCCAGCTCACCTAGCACAGACCGCAGCTTTTCAGGTGCCAGCGGATGGAGGCGGCACCTGCTCCTGTCCGAGCCGGAGTTTGCAGGCTGCTCGGCGGCCGCCGCCCCTCCCAGGGAGCAGCACGGGACGCAGTTGGAAAAGAGAAAGCGGAAAGACGGAAAGAAAGAAAAGAGGGAGGGTGAATCCCGGAGACGGCGGGCGCGCAGGGCAGCCCCGAGAGCGCGGGGCTGAGGAGGAGGAGCGGGAGGTGCAGGAAGGCTGGCGCCCCC